TATTTAAGCGGTTTTGCTTCACTATTTAAAGTTTATCGCCAATTAATATATAACTGAGAATTAAGGTTGCAATATAAATTCAATAAATAGACTTGCTTAGTCTACTCTTGTTCTCGTGACAAGTAAAATCTTTATCGGGAAAATGGCGTTTGTTATCTCATATGCTGCTTATCTGTATCACCTTTACAATTAATTATGGCAAATCATTTGCTGTCTTTGCTATTGTGGTTTACATTTTATCAAGTTTTCATTGGATCAACTCCATTCGAATATTCTGATGCATCAGCACTCTCTTGCAGCACGGTTCGCAATCAAAAACCAAGTAAACAGAATTTCATCCCAATATAACAGTTTGGCTGCTTACATGATAGATAAACTCTATTATCTTTTGTAAAATTTCCCGCGTGTGCTTTTTATTACTTCTGCTGAGCTCTTGCAAAGCGATGATGGGCCGAATGTTACACAAATTCGGAAATCAAACTTTGGGTCCGGATCTTAGCACTGTGCATTATCAACGACTGTGAAACCAATCATCTTTATCGTTCGCCATATCTCTTTGTGCCCAATATGCCTATCTCTGTGCCCGACTAACTATTTTTGGCTCTATTGACGTGCTTGAGAAAGGGCTGGGCTGAACTATCATTTCTATTCGTGATAAGCTCGTATAATATTGTCTGAAGCTCTGATCAATTGGAAACGTTTTCATTGGTTTACTGCATGTAATAGTCGATTGTCGAAATATCTAATCCAACTATTTTGCAGGTTGTGTGTGAGGGATGGAAGATAAAATGCATGAGATTCTTAGAGTTAACATCGTGGATTACACAAATTAGGTAATCTTGTGCTCACTTGGTAGCATTGACGCTACTTTTCACGGTTGATGTTTCAACTTTACTTCCCAAGCTGCATAGTACATGCACTACCACCCACCTGATTGTTGGCATTCTGTCTGACATACGTAACGTAAACAGTGTTACAAAAATGTTCGGTTTAAAAAAAATTCAGTATATTATGATAAAGTTTGCGGTAATTAGAAAATGTGCCGTTCCGTTGTTAGCGATTATTTAACTAGAGACTCTAATTGTTATAATAAAAAGCCTTACACCTGCGTGTGCTAAGAAAGCTTTTATTCATCGGCAAACAAAAATATTTTTACTGTTACGTTCGGACAGCAGCTCCGTTTGATCTACAACCTGCAGGGCCTGTTTGGTTCACAGTATACGACACCTGATTAAATAAGCACACAGCCACTCGTGTAAGGAATTCGAATTGCATATAAACTTAAGTAATAAATGACATGCATTTCTGAGTGCTCTGAGAGACAACAGAACAGAGGGTACGTGTGTGTAGATTACTAAAATATTGTAATTTTAAATAACTTTTTATAAGATAAACATTAATAATTAGAATGAAATGAGAATGGAGACCAATGATATTAGACTAGTATCACTGATACTATACATTACTTATAGTCCCTATTTTGTAGATAGGAGAGGCGTTATTATCAACACCAAGGAGAAGCAAATTCCATGATCCAGAGCTGGAGCAAAGACCCGTTAGCACAACAAGCACCGTACCATGAATATTAATTACGTGAAAGATTATAATGATGAGGATACCATAATGGCAAAAGACGTTTATTACATGCTTGATCAATATGACAATGTGTTGGAGGATCTCAACAGGTCATTGTTGATCAGACCTGATGATGCATATACATTGTGCATGAGAGGAAATGTGTATCTATATCTCAATCAGTATGCCAATGCCTTGGATGATCTCGATAGAGCATTGAAAATTAAACCAGACGATGCATTCACATTGAGCATAAGAGGGAATGTCTATTTCAATCTAAATCAATACGACAATTCATTGGAGGATTTGAACAAATCTTTGGAAATCGAACCAAGTCATCCAACTGCATTGAGAGTAAGAGGAGAAGTCTATTTCAACCTCAGTCAGTATGACAATGCACTAATTGACCTCAATAAATCGTTACTAATCAAACCAAATGATGCATTGGCATTGAGCAGAAGGGGTGAAATCTATTACTTGCTGGATCAGTATGACAATGCTTTATATGATCTTGACAAATCTTTGTCGATTAAACCAAATGATGCCTTTACATTGAGTAGAAGGGGAAATGTCTACTATATGCAAGGTCAATATGACAATGCATTGAATGATCTTGACATGTCATTGGGTTTTGAACCAACTGATGCATTTTCATTGAGAACAAGAGGAGCAATTTATCACAAGCTTGGTCAATATGACAATGCGTTGATCGATCTTGACAAATCCCTGGACATTGAACCGGACAATATACTTGCATTCAGACTAAGAGGAGAAGTCTATTATGCACTTAAACAGTACGGCAATGTATTAAGAGATCTTAACAAAGTATTAGATAACGAACCCAATGATGTATTAGCATTGAGCTTAAGGGGAGATATTTATTACATACTTGGCCAGTATGAACTCGCATTGAATGATTTTGACGACTCGTTGAATATTGAACCAGATAATGCACTAGCTTTGAGTAAACGAGGCGATATCCATCGAATAAACGGACTGCATGAAAGTGCATTAAACGATCTCAATAAATCGTTAGAGATTGATCCAAACGATGCCTTTGCATTGGGGAGAAGAGGGGACATTTATCGCATTTTTGATCGGTTTGATGATGCTTTGAACGATTTCAACAGATCGTTGGATATTGAACCGAACAATTCATGGGAATTACGGAGAAGAGGAGAAGTTTATCGCATGCTTAAACAATACCACTATGCATTGAACGATCTCAACAAGTCTTTACAAATCGAACCCAATAACTCCCTTGCATTGAGCAGAAGGGGAGATGTTTATCGCATGCTTAGCCAGTATGATAATGCGCTGAGTGATCTCAACCAATCACTAGCAATCGACCCAGATAATGCTTTCGCATTGAGAGGTAGGGGTGAAGTTTATCGCATGCTTAATCGTTATAACGATGCATTAAAGGATCTTGATAAATCGTTAGAAATCGAACCGGGCATTACATGGACGTTGAGTAGAAGAGGCGAAGTCTATCGTATGCTTAATCGATATCATGAAGCACTGCATGATTTCAACGTATCTTTGGAGGCTGAACCAAATAACGCTTTTGCATTGAGAGGAAGAGGAGAAGTCTACCATATGCTAAATCAGTACGAGAATGCGTTGGACGATTTTAACAAATCATTAGAGATTGAACCGGATATTACATGGACATTGGGCAGAAGAGGCGAAGTTTATCTCAACCTTAAGCAGTATAATAATGCATTGGACGATCTGAACAAGTCATTAGAGATAAAACCTGACGATGCAATCACATTAAGTGTAAGAGGGCATGTTTACGGTTTGCTTAAACAGTACGAGAGGGCACTGGTTGACTTTAATAAATCCCTGGAGATTGAGCCAAACGATACATATGCCTTGAACTTGAGAGGACACATTTATGGCATGCTTGAGCGATATGATGACGCACTATATAGTCTAAATCTATCGTTAGAAATCGAGCCAGATAATGCTCATGCATTGAGTGTACGGGGAGACGTCTATAATGATTTGAAGCGGTATGATGAGGCAATAGACGACCTCAACAAATCGCTAGAAATTGAACCAAGTAGTTCATATGCATGGAAGGTTAGGGGAAATTTATACTTTGACATTAAGCAGTATCACAATGCATTGATGGATCATGACAAATCACTAGAGATAGATCCAACTGATGAAGCTACATTGAGCAAAAGGGGTGACATTTATTACATGCTTGAACAGTATGATAATGCATTAAATGATCTCGATGCATCATTAGACATTGAACCAAATGATGCAGAGACATTGAGAATAAGGGGAAGGGTCTATCATAAACTTGAGCAGCATGACAATGCAATGAATGACTTGAACATGTCCTTACGGATCAAGCCAAATGATGCACTCACGCTGAAAATAAGAGGAAATGTCTATCTCGCACTACAACAGTATGACAATGCATTAATTGATCTCAATACATCATTGGCAATTAAGCCAAATGATGCCCAGACTTTGAGCATACGAGGGCATGTTTATGTTAATCTTGGGCAGTATGACAATGCCTTGACTGATTTTGACAAGTCATTGGAGTATGATCCATATGGCGTGGATACATTGAAAAGAAGATGTGAGCTCTATTGCAAACTGGAACAATATGACAATGCTCTGGTTGATCTCGGTAGATCATTGGAAATCAAACCAAATGATATAGATGGTTTGTATAAGAGAGTAGACATCTATTGCATGCTCAATCAATATGATAAAACATTAAATGATCTGAATAAATTATTGGAGATTAATCCAAATGATATAGTTGCATTGAACAAGAGGGGTATTATTTATTGTATATGTAAACACTAATTTGAGTTGACTCAAGAAGCACGTTTACTCTAAGATGTAAGATTTATGTATTTGTACTGATAACAAATAGTATGCATTACAACATTAAGGGTTATGTATAATTATTGAATAAATAAAAGCTTTTATAAATTATTTAAAAATTGATGATAATAATCCAAGCTGTCAGAGCCATTAAATCTGGAATTGGTTCACCATCGGTCATGTGTAGAAGCTACTAACATACAGGGGTAAGTACTTTACATTCTACTCCAAATTAGCGTTGTCACCGTAAAATCGTAGTTGTATATTAACAAATTAAGCAAAAGTGACAACCGCGTGCGAAAAAAGTGGCACAAATGAGACTCGACTTCCGTAGATTCGGTGTGGTTCAGTTACTTTCGATTCCTTTGTTATTATAATAAGCGAGTAGTTATTTATACTCAAAAACAATTATCCATGTTTCACTCACTGATCAAACTGTTAATCCCTATATCGATCGCTTCTTGTTCACAATGGCATTACATACTGTAGTTATTAATCTTATATAAACACTCGGACAAGCATATTTATTCACTCGATTTCGACTGACAGGCATAAAAAAATTCATTATGTGGATAGTAGCATCGAGATATGTAGATGAGAAAAAGTTCACTTTTGGCTCTGGTAAACATTACGTTCGATCGATCGTATGTTCCATTGCTTACTCTGGTCATACTCAGTAATGAATGCAGTCGCTACGCGTTTGGAAGGAGGGAACTACTAATATATAATGGTTGATAAAAATACAAGTTCGCTACACTTGGAGAATGTTGAAGCAGAGACTACTGCATCTTTAACTGAAACATTTAGATTACAAAATGCGAGCGGTAGTAGATGCGAATAATGTAGATCATTCAACTGTCACGCTTTCCTGTTTTGCCGAACTCTATTGGCATGATCAAATCTCCATCTCCGACTCTACATTTTATCTTGCAGAACTTCATACAATAGTTCATCACAATATTAATAAAAACTTCACAAAAAAGCAAAAATCAACTTCAATGTATCTATCTTGTGGCGAACTAGATATCTATGACAATAAGCTCTACATAGAGGTTTTCTTGTCTTAATACCTCTCCGCAAACTGCATCGAACTAATCAATGATTTTGCAATTTGCCTGTTTGATTTGTCAATTAACCGCCCTTTATCCATATAGTAAGAGGTTATTCTTTAAAGGATATGAGACTTTAAATTGTTAGATTTTATTAATAACAGAGTGTGTTTGAACAGCGACATGATTGCATTCCTCATAAGAGTAAAGCTACTGATGTTATAACCCAAACATTGTGCACAAACTAAAGTGATTGTTCAAAAAAAAAAGGTTAGTTCTTACTATTACTGTAAGAACTGTCAGCCGTTTATGGTAAATTTGAGATATCTTGTGTATTAAAACTTGACGCGTAAAGTTATATAAATTAAAATTATTGTTGCCGAGATATCAACTTTTAAACAAAAAATTGAAAGGTGTATAATACAGACTGCTATTACTTTTATAAAATTGAAAAATTCAACGCTTTGTTGAGATAGAACTAATTTTGGGAAAATTGTCAGTTCGCAAGAGCTTGCAAGCATTGCAAGGAAAGTGTTAGATACTAACCACAGCGATCCGTAAAGCAAACTAATAAGTTACAAAACACTTTTTGACCATAAAATCTGAGAATCGTTTATTTGGTTGAGAAAAGTTGATATAAAAAGCGCCTGTATTATGTTCCTCGAAACTAAAGCAATGATTTTATCTTAGAAAAGAACTAGTAAAACACAAACACTTGAACAAACAAGCGGACCACTCGATTGTCACAATATGCGATACCGGCAATTATCAGGTAGATCTTTGTCGTAGGGGCAAAGAATAGTCATGAAACGTAGCAAATGCCTCTTAAGATTGACAAATAAAAAAAAAAGTACCCTGCTCTAAACAAAATTTGAATAAGCAATTATTTCCCAATTTGTGACTGTGCGGTGTAACACAATACCAGAAAAATTTTTTACTTTAGGAGGTAGGAATAATCCAGCAACCAAAACTTGATTCAATCATTTAAATGTGAATGGATTCCTTGCTCGCTAATTATCGACATAAAGCCAGCCCAGATTGAGAATGTCTATTATGCTACTCGCAAACGTAGATAATGAAGGAAGCGATAACGCTGGTATTTCTTGGAAACAACGAAAAATGCACATCAAATTTGTGAGTGAATTTGCTACAACATACTCACTTCCGACACATAAGTACAATAATGACGTTAATCAGTTCAAAAGACACGAAAGATGGTTTGAATATTGCAGCAAACCTATGGATTTACCGAGTATGACGGTAGCTATTACTATTCTCTCGATATGGGTTCTGCTCCGCATGCGGAGGAATTAATCAATGGATGGACTAACAAAAATAAGCAACCTCTGTCGAACTATTCAATGCTTGTATTGATTAATCGTCATAGCCACCACATGTGGCTTAGAAATAAATTTACTGCAGTAAAAATTTTTGAGTGGTGACTAATGATAAGCGTCGATGTTAACGATAATAATAATTAATTTGTCGAACTATTTAATGTTAGTGTTTGGTTGATCGTCACACCGGTAACCACATGTTCTTTAGAAGTAGATTACTGCGGGAAAGTTTCAGAGACTGATGTCAAGTGAATTAATTAACATTTGATGATTTACTTGAAAGACGGTTACGGATAAAGTCGCAATATTAGCGATAAGCGATTTGTTACTTGCTTGTCAAACTCTTTAACATTATTACCCTAATTAATCTGTTCAATGGGCAATGTTAGCCTTAACTGATTGTCTTGATTTCTTTTTTCCAGTAATTAAATTTCTACTTCCAGTCATGACTGCTACAATCAAGGGAGTAAATTCATTGTGCTGATTGTGCAGGAACAAAACGGACAGATTGTTTGTCATGTAGCATATATAAACAGAACTGCGTGATGGTGTAACACGTTGGTTGTTTTTTTTTTTTTTGATCCCCACAATTTTCACGGAAGCCTATATAACAACCTTCTTCGTTATTCAATTTATCATGAACTTGAATCAAAATTGAATTGAAATTGGATTGAATTGAATTTAAAATATAAACTTATGCAAAAACAAACGCTTATTCGCTAACTAGGTATATATGTGTGTGCAACGTTATTTAAAGCATGCAATTTTATTGGTTAATAAATTCTGTCAATAAAGTTTGGCGTTTTGAGACTCGTCTAAGCGTCGAATTATACTACGTATATATATTATATCACGTTCTAAAATTTTTAGCTAATTCGAGAGCTTCTCTTCCCATTTGTACAGAAATAGTAGCCTCCTCTTCGTTGCTTGAGTCTTCTTCAGCATGTACTTGCATTTGCTGCAAGACACCTCGGCCATAAGAAATTTTTCCTTCCGTAGGCAACTGTGTACTAACCAAACCATTATACTCGTTCGCTGTTATATTTACCAAGGGATCTGCAAGCTTCAAATTATCGAGGGCCAAAATTAAGTTAGCCATAGCTTCATCGATTTCATCGATCTCCAATTATGTGGCCTGATTTATGTGGCCTGAATTTATTAAAAGGTGGCATGATATTTCAATTGGTAATATGAAATGCGGCAAATGGTCGACAAACTTGGAGTTTTGCGTTCTTTTATTGTCTACACCTATAATTGAACGCTAAAGGTGTACGATCGACAAACTTGGCACAGAGTATATAAATAGAAATGGCATGATATTTTGTGTAATATAGTTCCTAGGGGGATAGGAGGCACGATCATAATAGGTTATTATAGGGGATACAAATATAATATTGTGTTAGCGTCATTATAATTAATGTGACGACTTGGCATGAGAGAAATTTTCAATCGTCCCAAGAAACAATATCTTAAAGCAAACATTAATGAACATGGATAAGAAATGGCTAGATAAAATATGTGAAGATGAAATAATCAAGTGCTATTTAGAAAGTGAAATCTTAAACCGTACGTTTGTCGGCCACGGTGGGTTCGGAGTTGTGTACA